GTGAAAGGTGGAAAGCGTGGGCGGGTGCACTCAAAGTAGTGAGAATTTGATGATTTTGCTCATGATAAAAAAAGCGGCCAGCGGCGGCTACGGGATGCCAGCGGCTGCTACGGGCCGCCAGCCGCTGCTATTGGCGCGGTACGAAGGCACCCTTAGCTGCTTTTCTTTGATTGTCAACGAGACTGGAAGCCGTTCTAAATAATATGTTGTCCAGCAATCTATGGCAACTTTGTTTATGCGGAGTAAAGCTTTACTTTGTGCCACAATTTCCTCTTTCCCTCGCTGTTTAATATCTGCACACCGCTATCACTATTGCACTGAATAAATGAAAGTTTCCAGAAATATTCTGTTGATGTTATTACGTCAAGTCTCAACATCTCAACAGCATTTGCTACAGAGGTGTGAACCAGTTTTCAGTTGTTCCATCTATCAAGCAGCCGTTGTTGTTCCTTCATTGGGTATCATCATGGTGGAATCCGATCCGTTAGACGAGTACGTCTCTTATTTGGCTTGAGGCCATATCTGGCTTGACGAAAGTAATATGCACACTTTAAGCAGCTACATACAAACGCGTAACGTTCAGAAGCGAATCGAGGAAATGGACAGCCAACTCAGTACACTGCACTCCATAGTTATAGTAATGCTTTTTTGATTGACTTCAAGGAGAAGAAAAGATGACGAAACAGAAATGAGGGAGCTTAGACTCCCTCGACCTGGGATTGCAATGAGATTAATGCGCTGAAATGACGCAAGTGAAGCGATCGCTCTAGTTGAGAGGACACTCTCTGCAAATCTCAGTGAAAATCGTTTTGTTTAACAATGCGCGAAGAGAATAGGCTCCACCTCTATTTACACACGCCAAGTTGACATTTTAGGTTACATTCTTGATCACTCTGCTCATGATTGTCTTTTACTTTGGCGAGGTGATTTGTGACCCAGCCAGAGAACCGTTTGTAGGTTATCAATATTGCCAGCGAGGCGGTTTTCCCTTCTACTTCTTAGTTAAAGATTCCTCCGCCCCCGACTGCTGTGGTGGTTCACAGAAAGGACCGAAGGAAGAAAAGGCGCAGAAAATCTAGAAAAATCCCTCAAGATGAGTGGTACGCCACTTTTCCGCTCGCAGAATAGTTCCACGCAGTTGATTTAGCCGCCATACGTTGAATCGTTCATTCCCATCAAAGAAGATCATGCTTGAACTCGATGTCAAAAGGCCTGATAAGAAAAAGAAGGAAATGGAAGAGGTTCGGACTTTTGCGCTAACCGCAATCTAGCAACTACATTCAGAAAGAAAAACCTTCTGTAGTGAAGATTCCTCTAGGTGCACCTCCGCCCTATGTGGAGGGAAAAGCTGGTGCTACTGGAGTCCAAGGTAGCAGTTTGAAACCTTTTCACTAAACATGGGATTTCCATAATTCCCTTTGCAGATATAAAAGCACTAACTCAGCAAGAGTCTAGCGCAGTCACCGCAACGGTAAGTGTCGGGGTATCTTCTTTTCTTAACACTACTTTCCAGGTCGGAAGCACAATTTCCGGAGTGGGCAGTACGTCTTTGCCCATATCAGCTACTCAGCAAACGTCTGCCAGTCAAGATCGAAATGTGCTTCCGTCGGCGGCGTCTTCTTCTCAGCCTCCTCTACTTGACCAGCTCAAGACCGCCATTTTATCCGCTTCGCCACGTCGCGCACGTCCTGCAGTGGGTTCAAGCGCGGGCCAACCATCACTACCTGTGCCGGCTCAGCCACCCACTCGCACTGTTCTTCCAATGGCACAATCTCCGAGAAGAGGCAGGAGGAGGACGGCGACTTCACCAAGAAGATCTCAGCAAATGGGTTCTGGAGCAAGCGATCAGGCAAGCTCTACTTTCGTTTTACTAAGACCGTGTCATCTCCGCTGATGAACACGTTCAAAATGTCTGATAAGTCAATAACCAAAAACCGAAAAAACCAAAAAATGCAAGTTTGTGTACAATTCAAGATCCTTTTGTTTTCAGGCGAGTGCGCAGTGATAGGGAAAATCAAGCAAGATCATCGTTTATCGAATAATCATAGTTTTCTCGTAATGAAGGCTTTTTGTATAGTTTCCTTTCATCTATATTTCGACTTGACAAATAATTTATTATATGAGTCAATTCAGGCAAAAAAACGCTCTCAGTGCCATTTGAGAGAAGTAGGTTTCCGCAAAAGTTCCTAATGTTTCTGAACCTATAAGTTGTCATTTTGTTATAAAAACTTTCAAATGGCCTTTTCTGCTGTTGCTGATGACCTACTGTCAATCTCGATTCCGTCCAAATGTTGGAGAACAGAGCCCGGCATAAGTTCGTTTCTATGCTTCTTGAAAACGAGTCCCCCTTGGCTTTCGGATCCAAAAGCTGAAAACTTTAAAAAACGAAAGGGCGACTAAAAAACGTTGCAAATTGTGGCCACAAAAACGATATCAGCTTCTTGAGTTTATTTAAGCCTAACCAAGGTGGTATGAAAGAAAAAAAACAAAAAATAAAAAATGCTCAAGCGTTTCGGCGGAGCACCGTCTTCTTGAGAGCGCTAAACTAAAAACTCAAGCAGTTTCATACCTAATGTTAAAATAAACAGTCGGATTTTGTTAGATATCACCTTTGCTTTCGCCCCCACAACGAAGTCCAACTCTTCCATACAAACTGTGCCGGATGTCTGTCTGGCAGTCTCTGATGGAGACTGTTCTTACTCATCTTACCAGCACCTGGGTGTGGATAGTGATTTACCGCCCAGTGATAGATGCCAACAATTTAGCAGATAACGCGAAAAACTGTTGCGGTTGCCCTCTGCTAAGGCACATCTGATCCATTGATCGTTGCTAATAACCGTGAATCCGCCTCGCCCAATTTGGAGAGTCGATAATGGGTTTCGTTGGCCCGTACTATTTCATCCACAATCACTATCTTCACAAGAGTTTTGACGACGCAGTCCGCCGTAAGAATCGACATTGCAAGCGCTTGAACCTCATGCGTTGACTTCGAGCGGGGCGCGCTTCGAAATCCCCACACGTGACATTTTGTTTCTCGACAAGCAACGATAGAAGGCACAGACAAGCCCATGAGAGGGTATGATTGATACTGCGTATGGTAGACTTTGAACGTAAGTGAACGGCGCTGATCATCACAGAAAAAAGCAAACTAGTGAACTATCGCGTGCTGTGTCCAACCTTCATGCTACAAATGCTTGTCGAGATATATTTTAGAAAAATTTTCAACCAATAAAGTTTGATACATACATACCTGTCGTTGTGGTTCTCCTACGTGCATAAAACTCATAAACATAGCCTCCAAGAACTTTTGCTCCATATAGTAAGATCGAACAAAATCAAAAATGTCAAAACAGTGAATTTTTTGCCACCCAGAAAGAGCAAAATAAGTGGTTCCCTTTAAATTTTTCTGCAGAAATTTTTGCAAAGAAATCGTAAAAGTTTAAGGTTAGCGGTACTACTCACCCAATTATATGGCTACGCAG